GGGCTCGGGGGGGTGCATGGGGGGGAAGAGAGTAAGTGGGGAAGACCCCCTGTATTGTGGTTACTGGTTCTGCTCCGCTCCAGCAGCTGGGGTGGATTGGTGATGGCCGGGTGCGAGGCTGAGCCGGGGATGCTGCGCTCCCCGTGAGCAGGGGGAGTCAAAACCCAAAGGGGTGGTTTGTGCCCCCCACCACAGAGGGCTTTCCTGGGGGGCCAGCCTGCGCCCACCCTCCTGCCGCGAAGAGGTTAAGGCCAGGCTCCCCGAAGTGACTGCCTGAGCTGATTATTTTAATCAGGGGGATTAGGGCCATGGCCAACGGGGAAGGCAGTGCTGGAGCAGGGCTGTGCCCTCCCATAGCCCATGGGTCCCCCCTGCAGCTGGGGGGCTGGGGGGAGACCTCCTGGAGGGAAGGGAAGGCAGCAAGGTGGCAGGGGGTCGTCCCAAACCTACCTGTGTTGGCATGGCGGAGGGGTTTACACCGCCGGGGAGCGGAGGCAGTGCCTGCCTCGGTTTCCCCATCCACCTGATGCAAAGTGCTGCCTCAGCTAAACCAGTGCCTGAGCTGTGGGGGGGCCAAGCCTCCCCCCAGAGCATCCCCATTGAAGGGAGCAACACCCCATCCTCCTGCCCGCCTGTCCCCCCCAGCACGGTGTCCAGCCCTCCTGTGAACGGAGGCCGGGCTTGGTTTTCTCTGGGCAGAGCAGCCCCGTCGTCACTGTTAAACCACGTCTAATCCCTGTTATTTTTTCCTAATCCCACCCCCCTCCTCCCCATCACGGGGGCCGCAGGGCCTTTGTCCCCGGGCAGGAGCTCGAGCTGAGCCCGCGGCACGAGCAGGCCAAGCAGCTGCTGCAGCGCGCCCGCATGAAGGCTCGGACGAACCCCCTGCGCGCCAGCCACGACATCCTCCTCCTCCCCACCGCCGCCGCCACCCCGCGCCCCAGGTCAGTGCCGGACCCCCGGGATGCATCCCTCATTTCCCCCCCCCTTTCCCCCAACCCCGGCTTTGTTGCCGCCACGGTGCTCTCGGGGGGTACGTGTGGATTTGGCATGTGTGTAGGGCATGCAGATGGGTGTGCAGCTGACCTGAGCATCCCCCTGGCTCGTATTTAGGAATAGTGTGACCAGCAGAAGTCTGGAGGTGACTGTCCTCCCCATACTCAGCACTGGTGAGGCCACACCTGGAGTACCATGTCCAGTTTGGGGCACCTCAATACAAGAGAGATCTGGAGGTGCTGGAGCGGGTGCAGAGGAGGGCAACGAAGCTGGTGAAGGGCCTGGAGAATAAATTGTACCAAGAAGGATGGAGGGAGCTGGGACTGTTTAGTTTGAGGAAGAGGAGACTTGTGGGGTGACCTCATCATGCTCTACGACTACTTGAAGGGACGTTGTAGAGATGTTGGTGCTGGTCTCTTCTCACAGGTAATCAGTGATAGAACAAGAGGGAATGGATTCAAGCTGCAACAGGGTAGGTTTAGACTGGAAATTAGGAAGAAATTCTTCACAGAAAGAGTGATCAGACACTGGAATAGGCTGCCCAGGGAGGTGGTTGAGTCACCATCCTTGGATGTGTTTAAGAGCCATTTAGATGTGGTTTTGGGGGATATGGTGTAGGGAACTTTGTAGAGTAGGGTAGATGGTTGGTCTCGATGATCCCAAAGGTCTTTTCCAGCCTAGATGATTTGATGATTCTATGATCCCCCTGCCCCCCCGGAGCATCCCCTTGCCCTGCAGGAGCATCCCCCTGCCCGGGGTGTGGGTGAAGTCTTCGCAGCACAGTATTTGGGGGATGTTTAATTGTGTTTAACAGCAAGGCAGAGGCATTAATGGCGCGTTAACCGGCTGGCTGGGAGGACTGTGTTTCCCCAGCTGGTTGGGCAGTGCCTCCTTGGTGCCTGGAAGGCTGTACCCGAGCCGCCGCTCGCCGTGTGTGTGCCGGGTCATGTGCGAGTCGGTGTTCCCAGACTGATTAACCACACACCTCGGCGCAGGGGAAGGAGATGGAGGTCGGGTGGTGGCAGTGGGGCACGGCTGAAATCCCATGACTTCAGCTTCGGGCAGCCCGGGAGGGGAGCAGGGCTGTACAACACGGGGTGGGCTTTCCTCCTGCTCCATCTTCCTCACTGGTTTTTCCCCCCACCTCCTGCCCTGCTTTCCTGAGGGAGCCGGGCGGCCCTCACAGCTGGTCCATGTCTGTCCGTCTGTCTGTCCCCACGCCAGCGAGGCTGAGCCGGGGATGCTGCGCTCCCCGTGAGCAGGGGCAGTCAAAACCCAAGGGGGTGGCTTGTGCCCCCCACCACGGTGTGGCACAGAGGGCTTTCCTGGGGGGCCAGCCTGCACCCACCCTCCTGCTGCGAAGAGGTTAAGCCCAGGCTCCCCGAAGTGACTGCCTGAGCTGATTATTTTAATCAGGGGGATTAGGGCCATGGCCAACGGGGAAGGCAGTGCTGGAGCAGGGCTGTGCCCTCCCATAGCCCATGGGTCCCCCCTGCAGCTGGGGGGCTGGGGGGAGACCTCCTGGAGGCTGTCCCCCCCGGCATGGTGTCCAGCCCTCCTGTGAATGGAGGCCGGGCTCGGTTTTCTCTGGGCAGAGCAGCCCCGTCGTCGCGGAGGGGTTTACACCGCCGGGGAGCGGAGGCAGTGCCTGCCTCGGTTTCCCCATCCACCTGATGCAAAGTGCTGCCTCAGCTAAACCAGTGCCTGAGCTGTGGGGGGGCCAAGCCTCCCCCCAGAGCATCCCCATTGAAGGGAGCAACACCCCATCCTCCTGCCCGCCTGTCCCCCCCAGCACGGTGTCCAGCCCTCCTGTGAACGGAGGCCGGGCTTGGTTTTCTCTGGGCAGAGCAGCCCCGTCGTCACTGTTAAACCACGTCTAATCCCTGTTATTTTTTCCTAATCCCACCCCCCTCCTCCCCATCACGGGGGCCGCAGGGCCTTTGTCCCCGGGCAGGAGCTCGAGCTGAGCCCGCGGCACGAGCAGGCCAAGCAGCTGCTGCAGCGCGCCCGCATGAAGGCTCGGACGAACCCCCTGCGCGCCAGCCACGACATCCTCCTCCTCCCCACCGCCGCCGCCACCCCGCGCCCCAGGTCAGTGCCGGACCCCCGGGATGCATCCCTCATTTCCCCCCCCCTTTCCCCCAACCCCGGCTTTGTTGCCGCCACGGTGCTCTCGGGGGGTACGTGTGGATTTGGCATGTGTGTAGGGCATGCAGATGGGTGTGCAGCTGACCTGAGCATCCCCCTGGCTCGTATTTAGGAATAGTGTGACCAGCAGAAGTCTGGAGGTGACTGTCCTCCCCATACTCAGCACTGGTGAGGCCACACCTGGAGTACCATGTCCAGTTTGGGGCACCTCAATACAAGAGAGATCTGGAGGTGCTGGAGCGGGTGCAGAGGAGGGCAACGAAGCTGGTGAAGGGCCTGGAGACTAAATTGTACCAAGAAGGATGGAGGGAGCTGGGACTGTTTAGTTTGAGGAAGAGGAGACTTGTGGGGTGACCTCATCATGCTCTACGACTACTTGAAGGGACGTTGTAGAGATGTTGGTGCTGGTCTCTTCTCACAGGTAATCAGTGATAGAACAAGAGGGAATGGATTCAAGCTGCAACAGGGTAGGTTTAGACTGGAAATTAGGAAGAAATTCTTCACAGAAAGAGTGATCAGACACTGGAATAGGCTGCCCAGGGAGGTGGTTGAGTCACCATCCTTGGATGTGTTTAAGAGCCATTTAGATGTGGTTTTGGGGGATATGGTGTAGGGAACTTTGTAGAGTAGGGTAGATGGTTGGTCTCGATGATCCCAAAGGTCTTTTCCAGCCTAGATGATTTGATGATTCTATGATCCCCCTGCCCCCCCGGAGCATCCCCTTGCCCTGCAGGAGCATCCCCCTGCCCGGGGTGTGGGTGAAGTCTTCGCAGCACAGTATTTGGGGGATGTTTAATTGTGTTTAACAGCAAGTCAGAGGCATTAATGGCGCGTTAACCAGCTGGCTGGGAGGGCTGTGTTTCCCCAGCTGGTTGGGCAGTGCCTCCTTGGTGCCTGGAAGGCTGTACCCAAGCCGCCGCTCGCCGTGTGTGTGCCGGGTCATGTGCGAGTCGGTGTTCCCAGACTGATTAACCACACGCCTCGGCGCAGGGGAAGGGAGATGGAGGTCGGGTGGTGGCAGTGGGGCACGGCTGAAATCCCATGACTTCAGCTTCGGGCAGCCCGGGAGGGGAGCAGGGCTGTACAACACGGGGTGGGCTTTCCTCCTGCTCCATCTTCCTCACTGGTTTTTCCCCCCACCTCCTGCCCTGCTTTCCTGAGGGAGCCGGGCGGCCCTCACAGTCCCCACACCAGGGAGCCCAGCGGGAGGCCGAGCGTCACCCCGCGGGACGGTGGGAGCCTGAGTGACTCGTCGAGCGGGGAGTCCAGCTGCGGGCGGCCCCGGAGGCCCCGGGGACCTTCCCCGTCCCGTGTCCGCTTCGAGGACGAGTCGGCCCGCGACGCCGAGGTGCGGTACCTGGAGCGGCTGCAGCTGCGGCACCGGCGGGCACTGGGCTCGGCCCTGTCCTCCCCGGATCCAGCCGGCAGCGGGCAGCCGGGCGACGGAGCCGGCCGGCCCAAAGCCCGAAGCGGTGACCTGGTGGCCGGGGGCAAGTGCAGCGCCTGCGGCTCCTTCCTCGGTGCCACTTCCAGCCGGGGCGTGGATACAACGGCAGCCACCGACGCAGCCCCGAGCATCCCTGCAGCACCGGGAAGCATCCCAGGGGAGAGCGGGGGGCTGAGCTCTGCCAGGCTGGAGCCCAAAACCAAGACTCTGGGCCCCCGGGGGTCCCCGCTGTGGATCCTCCCCTCCCGGCAGCGCATCCACACCGAGAAGATCAAGGAGACGTACATCGGGGATGTCACCTACATTGATGAGGTGGACTCAGCCCTGGAGAGCACTGACACCTCTGACGGCTGCCGGACGGACAGCGAGGAGGCAGGACCCCGCAGCCCCCACCCGAGGGGGCACAGGGATCCCCGGGCTCGTGGGCACAGGGCCCCCCATCCTGCCCCACAGCTGGAGGCGAGACCCGGGAAGGGGACGTGCGTGGCTGGTGGTGGCCCCTGTGCAGGGGACGGGGTCTCAGGTGGCACCACAAGCCAGCCGGGGGCTGTTTGCCCCCTGCCACTGGGCAGAGCTGGCAGCCGGGAAGAGGGGGACCCCCACCAACATCTGGGGGACAGCGAGGGGGTGGGAAACACCACTCGTCCCCCACAGCAGCCCAGTGAGCCCCCGGACCCCTCCTCGCAGCCGAGGACCATCACTCCGATGCCAGGCACCCACCTCCCCGCTCCCCCCACCACCAAAAAGGCCTCCTCCCAGGTGCCTTGCAGGAAAGCCCTCTTCTCCAGTGGCAGCCGCCGGGCATCCAGCCAAGGTGCCCGGGGTCCAGAGCCTGATGGTGGGAGCGCTGGGCCTCCCCAACCAGGGGGCAGGGCAGGGCCGGGGGAGCGGAGGGGTCCCTGCGGCCCCAGGTGGCTCCCAGGGAGCCCCCTCCGTGCCTTGTCCACCAACAACTGCAACAACACCCACGGGCAGGACCCACCGGGGATGGGCAGAGGTAAGAGACTCGTGCTTGGCTGGGGGGGGGTGTGCTTGGGGAAGTCCCCAACAAGGCAGGGGTGTGACTGTCTCGCTGTGGTTCCAGGGGCACCGTCGCAGCCTGTCACCCCTGCACCCCAGGAGGCTGCTTGTCCACCCAGGGGAGCTGCAGGGATGCCTGGAGGGCAGCAGCATCCAGCCGGGAGTGTGGCACACGGGTGAGTGAGAGCGAGGGACCATCGGCATCCTGCACTGCACAGGGGGTGCTGCATCCCTCAGCATCCCTCCTCGGACCAGCAGGATGATGCCAGGCTGAGCCCCCCCGCCCCAAAACAGTTCCTGGTGGGACTCTTGCCTTTTGGCACCAAAAACCTCCCCAAAACTCAATGCAAAGATGCCAAGTGGAGCTGCGTTTCACCCCGCAGCTGGTTCCGTGGTGGTGGTGGTGCAGCTAACGTGATGGCGGGCAGCCCTTGGAGGGGTTTAGCTCAGTGCCAGGTTCTTTCCTTTTGGGAAAAATCCGCTGCCGACCCCAAGGCTGCCTTGGGGCTCCCCAAACGTGATCCCACCCGATCTGTCCCCCGGGCGCAGCTTGTCTCAGCCTGGCAGGAGGGTTCAGAGGTGGTGCTGGGTCTTTCTAGCCCCTTGGTAGGATGCAATCCCATCAGGCAGAGAGCGAGGGAGGTGTGAAAGGTGTTATGCCCCCAAAATTATGGGGAAAACAGGTAAGGAGCCCTTCAGGTCGCTTTGGTTCGTGAAATCCATCCTTTGTGTGTGCTGGGTTAGTGGCTGGGGGGAGGTGGGGTGGCTGCACCCCACTGTGCTGTGAGGCTCAAACGGAGAAGGTGGGTGCAGGATGCACCCCCAGCCCCGAGGTAGCTGCTGGCCGTGCTCCCCCAGGGCGCGTGGTGGACGGCCATCATTCCTCCTCCCTGCAGGGAGCCGGGGCAGCCAGCGAGCCGCAAGGGCAGCAGCGCTTCGGCCTCGGGGCTGAAGAAGCTCCTGTGCAGCCTGAGCCAGAGCACCAAGCAGCGCCTGGGCCGCTTCCGCTGCTACAGCATGGAGCAGCTCCCGGCCCCCGGTGGCACCCCCCCAGATGGCCCCGGCATGAAGAAGTCTCCCTCCCTGCAGTCCCTGCGGCTGGTGAGCTTGAGATGGTCACCCCATGGTGGAGGTGTCCATGGGGAGCTGGAGGGGGTGATCCAAGAGGAGGAGGGGTGCTGGGCTGGGGTGAAGCCTTCCTGCGCATCACTTTATGGCTCCAGTGGTCCCGGGGGTGGGGGGTGCATGTGCCATCCCAAATCTGCTGGGTTTGAAAAGCCCAGGGTGGAAGAGGAGCTGAGGGGAGACCTTATCGCACTTTATAACTACCTGAAGGGGGGGTGTAGAGAAACAGGGGGCGATCTTGTCTCCCAAGTCACAGGAGATAGGACAAGAGGAAATGGCCTCAAGTTGCGCCAGGGGAGGTTTAGATTGGATATTAGGAAAAATTTCTTCATGGAAAGGGTTATCCAGCATTGGAATAGGCTGCCCAGGGAAGTGGTTGAGGCACCATCCCTGGAGGTGTTCAAAAGATGGGTTGACATGGTCCTCAGGAATATGGTTTAGTGGTTTTTTTGTTGCTTATTTCTTATTTATTTTCTTGTCAGGGTTAGGTTGATGGTTGGACTAGATGATCTTTAAGGTCCCTTCCAACCTAGATTCTATGATTCTACAAAGGGGGAAGGAGGGAGTGAGGTGGGGAGGTGGAAGAGCAGATTTTGGGAGGGGGGAAGGAGGGAGTGAGGGGGGAGGTGGAAGAGCAGATTTTGGGAGGGGAGATGAGGTCATTTGGTTTGGGGTCATGGCTTGTGTGTCCCACCCAGCTGAGCAGCGAGATGTCTCCCCGAGAAACCCCACTCCCTGGGCGGGCATCCTGGCCCGGAGTGAGGGACCCTCCTCAGCAGTGGTTTGGAAGGGGCCCTGGTGGGGGGATAGAGGGTGTGGGGTGCCCCCCACTCGCAAGGTACATTGGGGTGCGAAGGGCTGTGGTGCTGCATGGCTTTCGGAGTCATCCCCACCTCAGCTGGGCATTTTTCCCCAGGTGTCACCCTTCTGCCAGCCACGAAAAGCCGCCTCCATCCAAAGCCTGCACCCCCTCCTGGGCAAGGCGTCCCGTGCCAGCGCCTACCTCCTGCCCCAGACCGTGGCCGACAGGTAGGACGGGACTCGGGACATCCCTGTCGTGGCTGGGAAGGCTGTTTTGGGGTCCTTGGCCGTGGTGGGGGGCCCCATCACTCTATCCCTGGCAGCTTCCTGGGCTCCCTGCTCACCCTGTCTCCCCTCTCCCCGCAGGAAGGGGGACTCGGGGCCGCGGCGCTCGCTGAGCGTGGAGGACATCGGGGCGCCCGGCCGGCTGCGTGCGGTGGGGCGCGTGGTGGAGGTCTTCCCCGATGGCACCAGCCAGCTGGAGCTGCAGCGGCCCCCACATGGCGCCTTTGGGTTCTGTGTCACCTCTGGGCACGGCCGGCCTGACACAGGTATGGTGGGCTCATGGAATCACATGGGGTTGGAAGGGACCTCTGGAGATCATCTAGTCCTAGCCCCCTGCCAAAGCGGGTCCACCTAGAGCAGGTTGCACAGGAACATGTAGAGCCTGTTTAGAAAGGCCTGCAGTGACAGGATGAGGGGCAATGGCTTCAAGCTGGAGGGGAACAGATTTAGACTGGAGATTAGGAGAGGGTTCTTCACTGTGAGGGTGGTGGAGCACTGGAACAGGTTGCCCAGGGAGGTGGTTGAGGCCCCTTCCCTGGAGATATTCAAGGAGAGGCTCGACGAGGCCCTGGGCAACCTGGTCTAGTTGGGGGTGTCCCTGCTGACTGCGGGGAGGTCGGACTAGATGACCTTTGGAGGTCCCTTCTGGCCTGGGCAATTCTATGATTCTATGATTCTATGTCCAGGTAGATTTTGAATGTCTCCAGAGAGGGAGACTCCACCACCCCTCTGGGCAGCTTTTTCCAGTGCTCTGCCACTCTCACAGTAAACAAGTTCCTCCTCACGTTTAGGTGGAACTTCTTATACTCAAGTTTGTGCCCGTTTCCTCTTGTCCTGTCACTGGGCACCACTGGGTCATCCCAAAGCATCATGTGAGCCTCAGGGGAGGCATGGCACGGCCCCTCCGTGGTGGCACTCGTCTCTCCCTGGGACCAAGCTTGGGGACAGGCAGTAGGGTGGACACCCAAAGGGGTGATGGTGGATGGGGAGATGCTGCTACGTGTGGCTTTGGCCACGCACAGTCCCGTGTGTCCATCAGCCCTTGGCTTGGGACACCATAAGGCCACCTGTGGTGAATTTGCTGCTGTGCATGGCCCAGTGTGCAGCCCCTGGGGGGCACAGCCCCAGCCATGGTTTGCAGGGCAGTGGGCTCACCCACCCCCATGTCCCTCTCCACAGGTGTCTACGTGCAGGAGATGGCGGACGCCGGCACGGCCAAGCTGTACGCGGGGCTCCTGGGCGTGGGGGACGAGATCCTGCAGGTCAACGGGGCGGCCGTCTCGGGGCTGGGGCTGGCCCGCATCCGGGAGCTGCTGCTCCAGGCGGACACCCTGTCCCTCCGCGTCCTCAGGCACCGCCCGGCGCCCCGGTAGCCCCGGCACGGCTCCCGGGAAGCCCATCGGGAGAAGGAGGATGTCCCACCACCATCCCGGGATGCCGCAGGATGGCACAGTGTTGGACCAAGTTGCCCTGCGGTGCCAGGGGACCTGCACTGCTCTGGTGGGGGCAGGTGGGCTTCCCTGAGGCAGAACAGGACCAAGGACCATGCCCAGACAGCATCCAGTGTCTCCAGGAGATGCCCCAAGTGTGGGGACAGGGGACAATGCCATTGAGCCAGGGTGGGCTGTCCTGCTGGGCACTGGGATGGCCAACATGGGGATGCCCCATCCCTGCATCCCCAGAAGACATGGGGTTCCCAGCCACCGCTGGAAATCTGCACCCAGGAGCTGGTGGGTTGCTTTTTTTTTTTAAATTATTTTTAACTTGAAAAAAAAATATATCTATCTATGTAATAATGAAACAGTGGCTTTGGCTTGTGGGCTGTAGGGAGGGTGGTGGTGTGTGGTTATGGGACGCTTGGCCCAGAGGGATGGGACATGCCCCAGTCCGGGGGCTGCTGGTGGGTGTGGGGTCTGTGTGGTGGGGGTGCATGTTGGGGGGGGTGCCTTCATGTGGGGCTGAGCCCCCTTGGAGCCGGTGTCACCAAGTGGGTGGCTTGTTCGGGGTGCTGAAGGCATGTCCTGGCTGTGGGGCAGCAGGGGGTGGCACAGCCTTGGGACAGGAGGGGCTCCCTGGGGTCTGAGGACCCATTTGGGAAATTAGGGACGGGGGGGGACAACACCTGTCCCCCAGGACAGGGGAGAAGGGGGGCTCTCCCTATTGCCACCCCCAGGCAGGTTGTGTTTTGGGGGTGGTCTCTGGGTCCTTGCTGCCTGGTTTCCATGGCCGTTGCTCTACCAGTGGCTACTGATGGTGGTGCAGTACTGGGGGGGGGAGTCTGCTGCCCACAGTGCCCTTCAAAGAGCAGAACAACCCCCCCTTTTCCCTGCTCTGATAAGTGGCATGGTGGGTTGGGGGCATGGGGTGACGGGGCTGCCCTCCTCTTCCTACAGGGACATTTTTGGGGACACCCCCACAGGTGTCCATCACTAATGACAGAGGGGGGTCTGTGCTCCTGCTGCTGGGTCTGGGGGGGGGAATTTCCTTTTTTCCAGCTGAGGAAGGGGAAACCGATGCTGCTGTGCAGGGAAAAGCCTCCCCAGCAAGCAGAGGAGGCGCGTGCACTGGGTAGGGGGGGGGGTCTGGCGCCCTCCCACTGGCCACAACAGCTGCCCCCTGCATGGTGGTGCCCCCCACATCTGGGCAGCAGCTGCCTGCAGCGCAGAGGGGACCCCAGAAACTGCTGCTTATGCCTTAAAAGCCAGGAGGGTGATGGCAGGCAGATGCTGGTGGGATCTCATTCCCCCCCTCTGCTCTGCACTGGTGAGGCCACAACTGGAATAGTGCATCCAGTTCTGGGCTCCCCAGTTCAAGAGGGACAGGGAACTGCTGGAGAGAGTCCCACAACAGCTGCCCCCTGCATGGTGGTGCCCCCCACATCTGGGCAGCAGCTGCCTGCAGCGCAGAGGGGACCCCAGAAACTGCTGCTTATGCCTTAAAAGCCAGGAGGGTGATGGCAGGCAGATGCTGGTGGGATCTCATTCCCCCCCTCTGCTCTGCACTGGTGAGGCCACAACTGGAATAGTGCATCCAGTTCTGGGCTCCCCAGTTCAAGAGGGACAGGGAACTGCTGGAGAGAGTCTAGCGTAGGGCAACCAAGATGAGGAAGGGATTGGAGCACCTCCCTTATGAGGAAAGGCTCAAAGAGCTGGGGCTCTTTAGCCTGGAGAAGCGAAGACTGAAGGGAGACCTTATTTATGTTTATAAGTATCTAAAGGGTGGGTTGAAGGATGTTGGAACCGGACTGTTTTCAGTGGTTTCCAGCAATAGGACAAAGGGTAACAGGCTCAAGCTGGAACATGGGAAGTTCCACTCAAATATGAGAAAGAACTTCTTTCTGGTGAGGGTGATGGAGCCCTGGAACAGGCTGCCCAGGGAGGCTGTGGAGTCCCCTTCTCTGGAGACCTTCAAGACCTGCCTGGATGCCATCCTGAGTGATGTGCTCTAGGTGTTCCTGCTTCAGCAGGGGAGTTGGACCAGATGATCCCTTCCAACTCTGACAATTCCATGATTCCATGATCTTTTCCTGCTACCCAGCGCCAGGAGATACCCACCTCCACCCCTCCATCCTTGTCCCCAGGCAAGGGTCACTGCGAGAAGGACGGGTGATCTCTGCTGTGCCACGCTGGGCACCAGCAATGCATTTATTTAGTGTCAAAGGGAGGGGCACCAATAACAACAGAAAAAAAAAGCAAATGTACACAGGAAAAGGGACCGAAGATGACAGTTTGGTGGCTCGCGGTGATGCCAGCAGCTGGGCCACCCTCCGGGAAGCACGCCGGACTAACGACGGAGCGGTCCTGCACGGAGTCATTCCCGGAGGATGCTGGACCATGCCAAAAATACTGCGGGGATCAGAGGTGTGCAAATACCAGCCAAGGGCAAAGCCCTGCTCAGACTCGTGCTCCCGGGAAACCTGCTCTTGGAGAGGTATAAAGCCCAAGGAGCCGGGCAGACACTGCGACAGGAAAGGGGGGGACACCTCGTACGTCTCACAGCAGAACCAAAAGAAACGAGGTGCTCTGCCAGGACAAAGAGCAACTGCTGAAATAATTAGTGCTAAGGGCACATGTGCGTTAACGAGAGCGGCCGCCCAGGCGTTGGTGGGGGGGGGAGCTTGGTCTCACCCCCCCCCTCCCCGTCGGTGCCCGGCGGCGGAAGGCACGGTGCCGCCGGCTGTCAGCGCCCGGTGCCTGCTGGGGAGGGGGCAAGGGGGGGTCACACAACCGTTTGAAAGGAAAGGAGGAGTGTTCAGTCTGGGCTAAGCATCCCGGAGGTAAAGCCGTCGGGGGGGGGGGGATGATGCATTTTCAGCAGAAGTCTTAGCGTCAGCACCAATTAACTTCCTCCCCCAGCCCCATCTGAGACCCAGATGGGAGGTGGAAGCCAGCCTGTCCCCAGTCTTTCCAGTGTTTGCAACTCAAATACGGGAGCAGGCTTTGCTAAGAAATACTTTTTGCTTTCCTAAAGAGTCACCCCGTATTCTGCAAGTGGTGTTTGCAGCACAGACCCCCCGCCGTCTGCATTTCTCCCCAGTTAATACTGCCAGGGGAGCTCTCTTCACCACATTTTTGGTCTCGACCACCTGGCTAACTCCTAATTCACTGTACGAGGGAGACAAGGAGGCTATCTGACACTGCTGAGGGCAACTCCAGTGACAAACAGCTCAAAGGTAACAAAAGGACTGGGAAACAACACAGAAACATGATCTAGCTTTGAATCTCCAGCCTTTCGGTTGCTTACAACAGAGGTGTCTAAAAAATAGCAGTTGGGAAAAATTAAGACGTCCTATTTACAAGTTCATATGCACTTAAGATACATAATTGAGCCCCATTCCGCTGGCAATGCCTCTTGTGCACTCGCAGACAGAATGTGGCTCAAATGGTCATCAAAAAAATCCTTTAAAGTTCCTCATCGTTTTTTTCTTTTTTTTTCTTAAAAAAAATAAGTTATTTTAGACCTGACAAATCACTTGCCAAATGGAAGCAGCTGTTAAACAGAAGCAGTTACTCGGTTATACAAGGGCAAAGAAAGCATCAGTCAATGAGCTTTAGAGGCTTGTATAACGAAGGAGGCAATCCTAAAAGCTTTAAGAAACTGACTCTCTCCGGCTAATGGTTGTTTGCCAGCTCTCAGCGACCATCAACACCAAGTTTAAAGCTCTGGGGTTTCCAATTGTGCTGAGGACAGGACACTTCACCCTATGGCTCACCTGCACGTAAGCTTCTGCCAAGGGGTGGTGATGTGGATGCTCTGCTGCAGGCTCACCCTGGCATCTGGGTGGCAAGAAGGTGGCGGTGGGAGGAAGGCAGCGTGGGGCAGGAGGAGTTCAGCTCCTCTCCCTCACCGTGGGGTTTCACGTCACCGCTCCTCCTGGTAATGCTTTTGGCTGGCAAGCACCCGCAGCCTGGCAAGGCGGTTTGTAATGCTCAGTGAGTTAATTAATTTCCTCCCCACACCCCCCCCAAAAGTCCCATCCTCCCCAGGGCTCGCTGCTCTGTGTCCGCATCCCACTGCAGGGCGGCTTGGAACCGCTGCGACCAGATCCTACCTGCACCGGGTGGAAGCACAGGGGACAAGTCCCCCTTCCAGCTGCCCAGGTCCAGACCTGGAGCCCAGGTCCAGATGGCACCACACCGGGGGAGAAGGTAGCTCCAGTCCTCCACCCCCTCTCCCCAGAACCAGGTGAGATGCCGGCAGAGCCGAGCTACAGTCCTCAGAGGAGAATGGTGAGAGCTGGGCCGCGGGTTTTCTTGCCTGGGGGATCTCTGTGGGCGGACGGAAACAGTGAGAGTTTCATTTCCCCGTGTTACAGGGGTGAGGGGGGCGGGGAGGGGGCGTCCGAGGAAGTTCAGTTCATCACAGGACGAAAAACAGGATGAGCACCACCAGCAAGATGACGAAGAGGATGATAATCGCACACCACTGCCGTCGATCTGGAAGGAAAAGGAAGGATCAGTCTTCCTGCTTTAACAGGGAAGGAAAATTGGGGGAGAGCTTTTCCTTGCTGTACTGCTAGGAGCCCAATTTAAGCTTAAAAAAAGCCATAAAAGGCCAAAGCAGCAGCTCCTTTGGCAGAGTGCCCCGCTGCAGCCCGTGGGGCAAGAGCATTTCTCCTCCAGGACACATCTGGTTTTGGGGAGAGCTGAGGGCATTTTGAAGCTTCTCGCCAACCAAATTCAAACAGATTTGATAAGCCAGTTCAAAAGCAATCAGGAGGAGCAAGCAGAGCTGCTGTGTGTTGCTGCTCACTCGTGGAGTAACCTGTTTGCTAGAAGAACAAGCAGCAGACTGGTGAAAGCTGCCCGAAACAGCTCTGCTGGGAAGAGCTTGTGGCAGCTTCCCTTAGGAGAGTGCTGGGAATGAGGTTAACCCTGGACATCTGTACATCTTGCTGTCCCCACGCACGCTCTGCAGAAGCTCAATGTTGCCATTGCCTCTGAGAGCTGCTGTCTGTCCACGGCCACGTCTGAGGTAGCAGAGAGAAAGCTCCTGTGAGATGATGGTGCAGCAGCAGGGACAGGGCTACTGGCACCCCACAACTTCTGGGCACAGCAGAATGCTCTTTCCCAACTCTCAGAAGCACTCTGCAATGATGGAAGCCTTTTTCCCAGGGGAAAGGGGAGATGATACACAAGGCTTGCCAGCGTTTGTGCTGCTACTGGTGACGCCAAGTGTGTTCTCAGCACTCCAAATGGTCTCTCCAGGGCCGTATTTCCACAACCTCATAAATCCCCCGGCCAGCCTAATCCCACAGAGTAAGAACACTGCTCCTCCCCACTCGCTGCTGCCTCCACAAGCCACCCGAGCACCCCCGGGAGAGGGGTGAGGGCGGAGGGGACCGGCGGGCGCCCCGCCAGCGCTCGGAGAGGAGAGCCCAGCCGTGCCGAGCCGTGCCGGCGGCGGGGGACTTCCCGGCAGGCACGCAGGTCTTCCTGTTTGCTCTGCCCGCGGCGCCCCGCCAGCCCACCAGCTTCAGGCACAGCCTTATAAGGACTTTTCTTGTGGGTTCAGCCTCCCCCTCAGCGCAGAAAATCGCCTCTTTCCTCTGCCAGCTGAGAGATACCTCGGACCGACAACAGGCCCGCGGGCCGAGCAGGCACCAGCAGCCCGAGGGCAGGTGGGATTTGGGAAGGGGCAAGTGTTTGGTGTGGGGGAAGCTGTGCTCGGTGGCAAGTGTTTTATGGCACCTTGAAAGCTTTTGTTCCCCAGGCAGCAAAGGAAACTGCTGCAGAGCTTCCCCTCCTACCATCTAGAGGGGGATTTTCCCACCGTGGCAGTAGCAGCATAAATAGAAAGGCATCTGTAAATAAAACAAAGGACAGGCTGCAGAGCAGTGTCTGGGCAGGAGCAGCTGCAGGGCTTGGAAATCTTCCCCCCTCTTTCAAGCACCCAAGATGTGCTCCCTCCCCCTCTGCTCGATGGCTGTCGGTGGGTGGGAGCTTGGAGCATCCCAGCCTGAAGATCCGAGGGCTTGTCTCTCCCTTTCCAGGACTGGATCCCAGTTCCCAGGACCTACCACTCGTCATGTGAGAGACTTTGGCGAGCTTCTTCATGACGTTATCAAGCCGCGACTGAGTGCTGTCCAACTCATGGGAGAAGTCATCCAGCATCCTGGGGACAGAGAAGCATGGCACTTGTCAGCAAGGGGCACATCCCTTTGGGACCCTGCAATGTGAGGAGTGGGGGTTTTCCTCTTCACCTCATGAAGATGATTCAAGGATTGGAGCATCTCCATTATGAGGAGAGACTGTGAGAGCTGGGACTCTTTAGTCTGGAGAAGAGAAGGCTGAGGGGAGACCTTATCAATGCCTACAAGTATCTCAAGGGAGGGTTGAAGGAGGAGGGAGCCAGACTCTTTTCAGTGATTCCCAGTGAGAGGACGAGGGGCAACGGGCACAAGTTGGAACATAAGAGGTTCCACTCAAATATGAGGAGAAACTTCTTCACAGTGAGGGTGACAGAGCCCTGGAACAGGCTGCCCAGGGAGGTTGTGGAGTCCCCTTCCTTGGAGATTTTCAAGACCCGCCTGGATCCAGTCCTGAGTAACATGCTCTGACAAGCTCTAGGCAATCCTGCTTTAGCAGGGGAGTTGGACTAGATGATCTCTATGGTCCCTTCCAACTCTTAAATTCAGTGAAATTCATTTATAAACTGTGATTAGCAGAGACTGGTTAGATAGACCTAGATGCCAGCTTGGACTTTAAATCTCTCTTCTTGCTCAGGGCTTGCAGTTGAAGCTAAAATCTTGTTCCAGTCATGTATCAAGCAGGAATGAGATTCGCAATTGCTTTTAAGGTGCTTTTTAAGCCCTGAGTGGAAGTTACCCCTCTAATTCCTCCACACAGCGACTGTAATGAATTTGAAAGCCTTCCTGAAGCTGTGCTTTGCCAATGCCAAGAACCCATTCGAAGACAAAGGAGCACACCCAGAATCAAGGTACCAATCCAATCGCCTCCAGCCAGTGGGACTTTAAAGCTTAATATGTTCAAAAGGACAGCTTCCTTCACTTGGAGTTCTAGGGCACTTGCTAAACCTTCATTCAGTGGGGAAAAAGAAAGAATTGTAAAAAAGCTCATTGCAGTAGTTATCTGCTACTGTCTAGCAAGCACGTGATGATCTGGAAAACAGCCACACCACACTGATCTGCTTCCACGAGAGCAGAAGACTCATGCTGCAAGACTTCATACCGGAGGTGGGTTTAAAGTTCCTCTTCTCCACCAAAGATGACAGACACCACTTCACAAGGGACATAGCCCTCCAAACTCCTCTCAGGCAAACAAGGAAGGATTTTAGGCATAAACCCTTCAAGCTCTCTGGAAGTGGTAGCTGTTTGACTGCATAACTGGAAACTTTATGCACTTGTTTGGAAAGGACAAGAACTGGGAAAGAAATCTAATTTAGATGTAAATGATGGATGCAAATTACTTTGTGAGCTACCCTTTAACCCTTTGCGTGGGTGAGGGTTATTTTTAGCTTTAACTATGAATAGCAGCTCTGTGTGCTGCCTGTTTCAGAGCGGCGAGGCAGAGCTGAGAACTCCTGGGTCAAGCAGTTATCCAGGGGCAAGCACAAAACCCTGTGGAGTGGGAAAGTGCCCAGTATCCCCTTTACACAGCACCTCCCTCCCTCATCTGTTCGCTTCTGCTGGCTGCCTGAAGGCAAGGAGCTAACTGTGTGCCTTAGGGGGGAGTGTGTAAAAAGGAGAGAGAAGGAAAAGTAAACTGGCAGCTAAGCCTGCCCTAGGTGTAGGCTTTCAAACGAACAACGCTGCGGTTGGATCCGTGCAGGCTGCAGTAAGAAATGCCTTCCACTGCCTAAAAATCAAAGGCTGGCTAGGAGAGGCTGCCTGAGGGACTAGTAAATTCAAAGGCCCTAACTGGGGCAGAGATACGTGTGTGAGGACCTCCCGCTGTGCTGCAGCCAGCCCCGTACTGTTTTTCCGGCGCCGCGTCTCACACTTACACTGCTTGCTCCTCCAGCTCCCCGCCAATGCGCTGGGACATGTTCTTCAGCACCCCGATGCTGCCAGAGACCAGCTCCAACTGCTCATCTTGCTGCTCTACAATCAACTGGGGCCAAAGAGAAGGGAAACGGGCAATTACAGATCTGCCGCCTCCTGCAGCTGGATCCAGAGCCAGCCCATCCCAGACTCTTGCTGCTCGGCCAACATCAACTGTGGGGCCTGGGCAGAGACCTAAGCCACCAGGAATGAAGACCACGTTCCTAAGAAATGCTGGAGAAGCGACAGCCGCAAGGAAGTCTCCCCGGCACGGCATCCCCGTGGCACAGCAGGGGATGACATCCCTGGAAATCCAGCCTCAGCTCAGCCATGCCCCCTCCCTTCCCAGCTAAAGCAACTCTTGAAAGCCACGGGGGCTGGTCATCAAAACCTCTGCAAGACCCCAGCCAGCAGCAGATACGGCAGCGGGCACCAGGGAAGCCACACTGATGCTGTGCCTGGAAAATGCAACGTGGAACATGGTGCAGCTAACAAGGGATTAATGTGAGTAAAAGGCTGTTGCAGCTTCTACAGCTAAAAATAGCAAGCCTGGCTCCTAAATGCGCCAAAGGAATAGGTGTGCTGATATTTTAAGTCATTTTCAGGGCACAGTCACACTAAGGATTAGATTTACCCTAGTTACCTACTTCTGAATCTATTTATCTTCCTCGAGTCACCAGGTAAAACTTGTCTGAAAGCCAGGGCGGCGTCAAGGGTCAGGAGCTTTAGCAGAGTTTGCTGCCTCTGAGAAGCTGCAGAGGGCTGCAGACAGAGGGCTGTTTAAAGGCCCGTGTTTGGGTGGGCTGCTGCCTGGGGGTCTGCACTCTGCCCGGGCACTTCTCCAGATGAACTGCCCCAGTGGCAGGGAAACACCTTGCCAGGGGCTCTCGCAGGTCCAGAGAGGTGATTCTGCCACTTTCCTCTGCTCTGGTGAGACCTCACCTGGAGTATTGTGTGCAGCTCTGGAGCCCTCAATATAAGAAGGACATGGACCTCCTGGAGAGAGTCCAGAGGAGGGCCACAGGGAGGATCAGGGGGTTGGAGCACCTCTGCTACGAGGACAGGCTGAGGGAGCTGGGGGTGTTCAGCCTGGAGAAGAGGAGGCTCCGGGGAGACCTAATAGCAGCCTTCCAGTACCTGAAGGGAGCCTACAGGAAGGCTGGGGAGAACCTGTTTAGAAAGGCCTGCAGTGACAGGACGAGGGGCAATGGCTTCAAGCTGGAGGGGAACAGATTTAGACTGGAGATTAGGAGAGGGTTCTTCACTGTGAGGGTGGTGGAGCACTGGAACAGGGTGCCCAGGGAGGTGGTTGAGGCCCCGTCCCTGGAGATATTCAAGGAGAGGCTGGATGAGGCCCTGGGCAACCTGGTCTAGTTGGGGGTGTCCCTGCTGACTGTGGGGGGTCGGACTAGATGACCTTTGGAGGTCCCTTCTGGCCTGGGCAATTCTATGATTCTATAACAGTGCAAAGCCCTCACCCAGGCTTTCTCACGAATCTCATGTTGACAAAGGCAGGAAAAGGAAGCAGGCACGTGCTCCTGCTCCTAGCCTGTTCTGATGAAGATGCACACAAACAACAGCAAACATCAGCTCGTTTTTTTAAGCAGGGGAAGTTGCATAAGAGAAAGGGGCTTTTTTCTGTGTTTGCGACGTTTCTACTCTTCCAAGGATTTCAACAATCCTTGTAGTATTAAAGCTCAGCGTGCCACATCTTCCACATCATGTTCTTTGCCTTCTGTACAGAGCAGAAGACCCAAGGCTTAAGAGTTAAAAACTTTGTGCCACGATGCATCCAGAGCTGTGCTACACGGGAAATGCGTACATAGGTGAGGGCTGTCAGGCTCCTGGATCCAGACGAGCCAAGGACTGGATTAATTTTCTTTTTTTTTGGCTCTTGCAGCCCGTATCTCATCCCCCTGGCACCCATTTGGCAAGCAAAGCTATTTAGTCTGCACGGTGCCAACTGCCTTACCTGTTGTTGAGCTTGCTGCTCCTCGATGAAGTGTGAATTTGCTAATTGCAGCTCCCGGTCCAGACGGCTGTATTTGTCAGGTCCAGAGCTCCAACTCTGACTCCCGCTTTCTCCCAGGAGTGCCTAAAACAGATGCAGAGAGCCCTTAGCAACGCTCTTGTGTCTGCTCACAGCTTGTCTACAGTGTGTAGTGGGAAGGCAGATGAGGCAATACTCCTGTACACATACATACAGCATCGTTTTCCTCCAGCTCTACTGCTACTCAGCTAGACTGCTGTCAAAAAATAAATTAACGCCAAAATGCCAGGCTGAGAAGTCTCTGCAGCCTGATATTGCAGATACACCTCTCCAGCAGCAGGAGAGCTGGAGTACAACCAACAGATTGTGCACGCAGGAGGTCTTCTGCACAGCACAAAGGCCCAGCAAAGGTCTGCTCAAGAGGCAGCACTTTGTGCTAGAACATGTAAGCTGGGAATTATTCAGATATATTGTGCTAACAGATGTATAGCTCGAACTGAACGCTGTCCTACTAATGACAGGGGCTTAAGAGGGTCTGGATAAAGTACTTAACCAGTTGAGCTGAGAGTAAAACAGTGCAAAATACAACCACAGCAGTGCTGTATGCTCGTGTTCTTTGATTCAGGCTACCTGTTCTTCCAGCGTGCTGTTCAGTTGCCAGCACACAAGATTACACTTGCTACCTGCTCTACAACCTGAAGAGAGAAGCTTGTGCAAAGCCTGCAGAGATGTGGCTTTCCAGCTGAGTAAGTCTGGTCCCTGGAAGGGGTATAACATACATTACAGCCTGGAGAAGAGGAGGCTGAGGGGAGACCTTATTGCTCTCTACAACTACCTGAAAGGAGGGTGTAGAGAGATGGGGGTCGGTCTCTTCTCTCAAGTCACAGGTGACAGGACAAGAGGAAATGGCCTCAAGTTGTGCCCGGGGATGTTCAGGCTGGATATTATGAAAAATTTTTTCACTGAAAGGGTTCTCAGCCATTGGAATGGGCTGCCCAGGGAGGTGGTTGAGGCACCATCCCTGGAGGTGTTCAAAAGACGGGTTGATGTAGTGCTGGGAGGTATGGTTTAGTGATGATGCTCCTTGTTTGTTGTGTGGGTGTCTATTTTTGTCAGTTAGGTTGACGGTTGGACAAGATGATCTTTAAGGTCCCTTCCAACCTAGAAGATTCTGTGATAAATGACAAATGCTGGAGAATGAACGTGGCCTGCAGGTGAGGACCTGCACCCTGCAGCACTACGAACGAGTTAGGGGAGGGGTCTGTCCACCAGCAAGGCCTTGGAGGCAAGGCTGACTCATAAGGAGACCATCTCACAGCTTCTGGCTGTGGGCAGGGGGGGGGACAAAGGAGTATTTGTGAAGAACAGCAAGACAATGACCAGGCTGCTCCAGCAGGCTAAAACCAAGACAGTCTCTACAGTTCATCCACCTTACAAGGATCAAGGAAAGCTGATGGACTGACCGTGCAGGAAGCCAGCAGGATACCTGCCTTCGAGACACTGAGGAAGCTCCTGGTTCTCTCCAGTTTGTGGCAAGTACAGCTACTGGTTATTTAATGCAGTGCACTAGTTTTGCTACAACTTCAATAGAAAGGCCTCTGTTTGCCAGCCTGAGCCTGTGAGGGTCAGGTTGCCACCAGCCAGCCCCTCAGACACAGAGGCAGGCTGGAATAGCTGCTGCAGGCCAGGCCAGCACAAGCTTGGCAGTCTGGAGGGAAGGCAAGGGGCTGGGGAAGGGAGAGGAAGACGGCAAGGGGAAGTCAGTTTTCCTGACCAGATGTTGCCGTGCGAGCCGGGCCATATGGTCTCCTGCAGCTAGCAGGAACCTCGCCCAAAGGAAAGCAGCAAAACGCAGAGGCAGCTACAGACTTGTTTGAGCAAGGGTGTAAGGGACTTTGCTTCTTCAAGTGTTTGCCAAGCACGTCCATTAACCCTGTAACAAGCTCAGGAATCAGCTCGGTGCTTCTCGGTAGCTTGTTGCAGTTTGTCATTTTTGCCACAAGTGGTAAGACTGATGCAGCCAGATAAGTTAATTGGAGGAAATGCACACCAACTTTTAGGGAGGCAGCTCTGGAAGTCAGCCCTAAGATCTCCTTACAGCCTCCTCGTCAGCCGGGGAGGAGCACAAGCTGCATCTATTTCTATTCCTTAGATTACAAGTGCAGACAACCTGAGACTCCTTGAGCTCCTTCCATCTTCTTACATGGCTAACTATTACAAGAGGCAGCTGTGTGAAAGGATATTGCAGCATCTTGGCTCCTAAATACAGCAGAGCACAGGATTACATTCACTGACATGGATTCTGTTCCTCCCGAGGAGGAGGGAGATTCCCCCCCCCTTCTGCAGAATGATGCAACACTGACAGTTGTACACAACCAGATCAGAAGACAGAGACAGATGGCAAGTGCTGACACTGCTTTGAGAGACAGGTTTGGAAGGGGGCAGCAACAACGTGCCTGTGAGAATCAGCTCCCTCAGGTCAGCAAAACAGACACGGGTCAAACTCACAGCTTTGCTACAGCGTGCAAGCCCCTTCCCCAAACCAAAGTTTATAAGGGGGATGAACTACAGACAGGATATATATTGTAATATCAGCTTTTACACAGTTTGGATCAATGCTGTGTGCTCTACCTGACGATGTAGGGCCTCCAAGGAAGTGAAAATGGAAGTTTCACTTAACACATACCTTAAGGTGCTAGCTGCCAGAGCTGATAAATCCTCCTTTTTCCCTAAAGTACCAAACGGCCACTGCATTCACTTAACTTGCCTGTTTCTGGTTCTCACCTGTCTGTTTTTCCTCTCAGCCAGTGCTTGCACGGAGGAGTTTGACATCTGATCCTTCATGTCCTGTTTGTTCAATGAAAGAAGAAGTATGTGAGCATCAGATTTGAGGCGACAGGCAGTTTCAGGGTGCTGCAAGGCTTCGTTAGGGGGAGTGAGGGAAGGGAGATTTTTCTTTGAAAATGCACAGTTTTGAACAGTCTGAAAGGATATTGCAGAGAGCTTCACTGCACTTCATCATTTTACTAATACTAGAATTAACAGCAATGGGATATTTTGAAAATATTCCTTATCTACTACTCATTGTGCTTCACTACAGCTAGAAACACTGCATCAAAACTAGTGTTCCCACTGATAGACTGTAAGGAAGAGCCATGTTCTTCAAGGCCTTGAAAGCCTCTAAACCCCTGCACTTTATTGCCAGTTGCACCTGGTTTTATATTGAACAGGATGAGTTAGATTTCCTGTCCTGTGCCCATCCTCTCTGACTGTGCCTATGTTTTGTCTTTAACTAAGTTTTAATAATTTAAGTTTTGCTGCTGAGTTCCTGTAGAAGATTGTCAACCACATCATAACGTAATCTAGTTTTTACAGGGTAGATTAGCAAGCAGTCAATATGATCTAACAGGGGTTGATCCACCAGCACAATTCTGATGTCACCAGAACATTTTAGGTATGTTTTACTGTTAAGAGATGTGCAATACATCACCTAAGAGCACCAGATCCCACTCGGTTACTTCTCCCTACCCTAATGCACATGCTGGTGTGCAGCACAAACTCCCCCATGTAAACTGAAGTCAGCTACGTAATGCCACTAATGCATTTCATTTAACAGTAAGAGACACTGCTCCAAAAACCCATTAGGCAGCAGTTTTCAGCCAGGAAAAGAGGACCACAGAGCAGGCTTGCTTCATCCTGCTTGTCTGGGGAGGCTACACCAAGGGCAAGGTGGCGAGCACACGCCTGCTACCCAGGGCCAGCATGGTTTTGGGATCAGTTCCCAGGCAGCAAGCCTTAGGAACTGCATCCAGACTGCAGGACTGCAGGTAGGGTAACACGCTTGCTGCCAGCCACAGCATTGCATTTTGTGAAGGAGGAACGTCAGAGTCATGAGGGACAGCAGAAAGTAAGCTACACTCAGTGTAGCTATTAATAGGGAGAAAACTTCCTAACTAGCAGCCTGTTACCAGGCAGTGAAGCTTTTGGGAAGATGTTTCTTCTCTATTTATTACCACCGAGTTGTTAAAATCCTCCTTTGGCTTCTGAAGTGTGAGCTTAAACTAAAAATAAATAAATAAATAAAAATTCTTCCTCAAGTTAAAAATAAATCTAGCGGTTGTTTGGACAATTTGCAGCAGTAGGAAGTTGAAGTCATGTCAATAACCAAGGCTTTAACCATCTGTCAGTGTTCAAAGTGGACTCAAAGTTTTTGAGAACTAGTGCTACAAAAGCACAGGACAGTTGCAATTTCCTTCTACTCTGAAGGGAGGCTCCAGCCTCCCCTGCATTGCAGCGGGGTCTTTACTCTTTCTTCCCAGTTTCTACACGTTCCTGGGCTTGCTGTTGCAAGAGAGGTGTGAAGACCTAAAGGGGCAGCAGCAGCAAAGGAGGGTATGCCATGGGGCACCTCCACCCCTGCAGCCCCAGGAGGGAGCACACGAGGAAGAGGAGGAAGCCCGAGAGAGCAGGTAGCAGGTTTATTCTCTGCTCTCCACTTCACCACGGAAATGGATGCAAACTTTCCTCTTTTTTAACCACCTAATCACTCCCCCTGCCTTCCACCCCACTCTCAACCCCAAGTCCACGTTCCTTACCCGGACCACCTGCCGCGTGCTGGTGATGAAGGCTTTCCTGATGCCCAGCTCCGTCGCATCGAGGTTGAATTTCCGTGGATTTGCCTCAACGATGCGTAGGCAGCGAGTCAAGGAGTCCCCGTTAGCGGTGGTGGGTACGGCCACAGATACACAAACCCTGAGCCCACCTCACCAGGGCTCTACCAAGAGGCAGCTTTCCATCGTACCATGCCTTTTCCCAAAATTTGATTAGCAAAGTACGAAACATTGGAGGGAAAAACAGGCACGGCAGGAATGTATTGTGCAGCGTGAAGCTTCTCTCTTGCATTTTTTTGGTTCTCTGCACAGCGCTTTCTGGAGTATTCAGATGAACACAAGGGAAAAGGAGTATTTCTGGAAGCCAGCCTAGAGTACGACCGACTACAGAGAGATCCGAATTCATAGGACGCAATAGGCTTTCTGGAACAAAGCGTCTTAGAATATACCTTGTCAAAAGCAAAACAAAAAGGCAAAAGGCAAATCTTTTTGCTGAACACATTTGCCTTAATTTCTCATTTGCAGTTTGAGAAAAGCCAATGCAAATGCGAAATTCAACCCTCAACAGTCCCAATTTCTGCAAAAAAGTAACTAGTGGGAAGCACTGGTACTGGGCTATTTAGTACGACTCAGGAACTGCACACCCCTACCTCCAAAGAGCCACATAAAGGATATTAATTGTTTCATCCAAGTCTTCCAGGTCCCACTCGATGCTCCGCAGGTTATTCCTGAGCTCATTAGTGGTCCAGTCGATTTCTTCTCTTGTGGCGATGGAGGGATCTTGCAAGAGCTCCGTCCACCTCTGGAAGAGCCCCTGGGCGGTGTTCACGGCTTTCTGCACCTCCCTGCACCCGGGGTGATCAAACAGAAGCCAAGGGATTATCATCAGTTGCTCTGCAGCACTCACAGCGGGGCAGCCCAACATCCAGCCGAGTAGGGAAGCCCCACTTTCTCCCAAACATCTTTCCTTCAAACCATTTTCAGTTTATTTTGTAAAATAAGGATTTGCCCTACCTGCTGGACAATCCTGTCCCTTGTTGCAGCACCAAGTGCTGAGCAACAGCAACTTACAGGTCACCTATTAATGAAGGGACCTATTTCTTTAGGGGAGGTTTCTGCTGAGTGTCATACAGGCAAGCCAGGGCAGAGTGTCTGAACAAGGCTGCTCTCTGGCAATTAATGTTGTTTCACATTTCTCTCAACAGCTTTCCTCTGAAGACTCTTGGCTACCTAGGTAAGATACCCCAGGGGCACACAGAATTACAGGAACTGTCCCCACAATACAGTCAGGCCAGACTGTTGAGTGCAGCACTGTTTATTTTAATTTAACATAAAAAAAAAATCCACACAGCTCTACTACACCGGCTGAGGGAACAGAAGTCTTTTCTGCTGCTCTAAGCTTTTTGGAGACGAGCGCATTCACAGCATGGGAAGGCAGGCTTTGCTGACAGCACTGAACGCTGCTTTGATGGTTTGGGGCAAGTGGGTCTGTAAGTTTGGGTTACAGTGTCTGTATCTACAAACTCTGCAGTCCTGAGCCCTGAACCACTCCTCCAGGTTACCTGGAAGCCAGGATGAGGGACACAGGTGAGAGCAGACTTTGCTGGTGTGAAAGGTGACTATCAGGAGTCCAAGAACTTGCACACAGCATCCACATAAGATGCAGGTGTTTATCCTCCATGAAAGAAAGCAGGTTACCATGGAGGGAAGCCCAGGACAAATGAACTGAGCCCACACTCTGCAGAGGGGCCAGGACTGTAGCTCTCTTTGTTATACACCATGGCCTGAAGTATGAAGTACTCCACTGTCTGAGTCGCAGTCTCTTGGCATCCTGACACATGTCCCTCCTCTTCTCGCACGCCCACGACTCCGAGTCTGCCACATCTAATGCCTTAAAGTCAGCAGCCCACACCAAGGATCGAGAGCTTCATTCCCTCCACTGCTTGCTAGGGAAAGTTTTGAATTTTTTTTCTGTCTGGGCATACTTGGGGAAGTACCCACATGCAGGAATTTAAACCAGAGCCTGATGGCCTCTGATGGGAGGAGTTATGAACTCCAGGAAAGCAATCTGAACCCAACAGGGACAGTCTCCACCAATTCCCACTACCACCCCAACCTGCTGGGTAATAATTAATGCTGGGAGCAGCAGCACATCCCCTCTCCCCTCCCAGCATAGCACAGGAACCTCTCTGGAAAATTTGACAGGATGTTCACTCCCCACCCACGGCGACAAGGATTTTTTCCCCTTAGCACCAGGTCAACCTGGCAGCACGACTCACTTTCCCTGGCAGCACCAGCATCCCTCCCCACACCTCTTACACTCCCATGGCTTTCCCCACTGCCCCCCTAGGAGGGGGTTGGGTTGCTCCTCAGCACTGTTTCACTGGGACACAGAATCACAGAATCTTCTAGGTTGGAAGGGACCTTAAAGATCATCTTGTCCAACCGTCAACCTAACTGACAAAAATAGACACCCACACAACAAACAAGGAGCATCATCACTAAACCATACCTCCCAGCAC